CAGAGAAGTGGATGCCTCCTTAAAATGAAATATTAGCTTGTATTGTATGCAGGAAGCGCATTCACCAGTGCTGCTGGCCTAGATGGTTAGAAAAATTAGGAGAGAAAAACAAGACCTCTTTTCAAGCATTCATTCATTTATGCCATAAAGCAACCTAGAGTCATTTCTGAAGCTGTCAAGATATCCTACTGTCTAGTTGTATTCCTTGTAGTTTTAAGAAGCAAATAAGAAGCAAATTCTGCCAGGCCCTTGAACACTCTGCATCTATCCCAAGCTTCTACAGATACCAACATACAAGCAGCCAGAAGAATGGCTGTATTGTTTACATGACTTAACAAGAAACACAGTGTGTAGCAGCCTGACTGAGCAAGCAGAAGACTGTTCACACCCCAGAAGCGCTTAGGGCACCACTTTAGCATCCCACGGGTGCCGAAGCAAGCATAACAAAGACCAACAATGTGACCTTTTATTTTGGATATCAGCCAAGCAATGGCCCAACTGTAACAATTTTTTTCCAGGCTCTGGAGCACACAGACAAAATGAAAATTCCGGGACAGGTTCCATGAGCAGGTCAGTTCCAATTAAAACAAATTAACGAACAATCCTAGTGGCTTTAGCCTCAGATTTACAACTGCATATCACTGCTATAACTTAAGGCAGAGGTTCTCAAACTCAGCAATCACCAAATAAATTGAGATGGAAGAAACATGTTTTATAGGCTTACCTATGTAAAACAGGATGCTGTCAGTTCTCACTCACTTTCTACCTGAACAATCACTTGTGTGGGCAAAGAAGGAGTGTGGTCTGGCTATGTGTGATCTTCTCTGCACCTGCTCAGTTGCTTGCTCCAGCACTTTGTTCACAGCCCTTTCCTTCACAACAATAGAAATAAAGCCAAACAATGTTTTGATAGCTGAGAAGGTAGAGGAATTCATTTTCTCTTTCTCTTGCCAGGAAAGACTTTCTGTTCCTGGTTTGGTTGGTTGGCTGGATACAAATTTGAGGGCAAAGTGAAGTATTAAGAAGGGAGAGAGAGCTGTAGGAAATAAAAAATTACTCCTTTCTGCATGAAATAACTCAATAATTCTGTAGCAACCACTTCAGCTTTTTGAACTAAAATACAATTCAATCAGATTAGAACTTTTGGATAAGCAACAGGAAAAAGAAAGCGAGAAACTGGATATTCTTGTTTTTCTGACCTATAAATATAGAGGTCCTGACCCACCCCACCACATGTGACTGGAGATCCCCTTGTTAACAAATTGACGGCATATTCCCTCCTATATCATCTCAGCTAAGATCAAACCTTGTTTATAAACGAAGAAGAATCAAATGGAAGCCCAACCAGCTGTATGACCTAACTGCAAATGGAAATATTTTCTAACATTTCTTCTCATAAACACATACAAGAGTAGCAGAGATTAGGCAGAGCAGACTATAGGCTCTTTCTACTCTCTCTCTGACTGTCCATCATGGTTACATTAAAAATTTATCATGAAAAGGATAACCAGTTTACCAGTAGCATACCCTAACACCTCCCAAAAATGCTGTTGGGTAACACTTCAAATTCCACAAAATTTGACTTTGGATGTCTCCCTCAAATAACAGAAGAGTCTGTTTGGCAAATCAGGCTAGACAATTTATGCAAATTGGCATAATTTTAGTAAATTTTACATACATTATATAATGCATAAATACATAACATTGTATAATTTACATAAATTTACCAGAGTTATATAAATTTGGACTTAATGAACATTTGGATTTAACAGACACCCCTTTCCCCCAATTATTATTCCCCAACTATTCCCCCTATTAAAATTCTGCTTACATATGCAACAACTAACTAATGAGGGGAAAAGACTTGGATTGCAAGAAAAGGAACAAGTGAACTTTCATCTGTCTGAAATTATCCATCCATATAGACCCAAGATTCTTCAGCCCCCTTTGAAAATGATGCAGATCCAAACCCTCATACAAACTCCTGAATGAAATTATTTCTTCACAATCCTATACCCTGCTCAACCCTTAGCCTTGCATCTCAGGAAGTAGAATCTAACAGGGCAGATTAAGAAACAAACCAATATCTGCAGTCTGTAAAAGGGACAGTCCACTGAATGATCTCATTATACTTTTGGGGACAGAACCACAAATGAACTGGAGGTGAGAAGAGAAGAGAGCATACAAGATAAATTCAGATTTGTCTATACAACAGTATAAAAGTTGCAATGAACAAGGCTTTATACAGCTCAAGCAAAGAAAATGTATACTGCAAGTAAAAGCAGTTAGGATCAATCTAGAGCATTCTCATTTAGTATCAGTCTACAGGCAGTGAGAAAGACCCTTTCCTCATTAAGTTAGACAAGCAAATAATTGGAGGTAGGTAGGTATCTTCTTATAATCTAAAGATGTACTTCTCAACCTCAGCAATTTTAAGATGTCTGGACTTCAAAACCTAGAATTCCCCAGCCAGCACATTTGTTTCCCAACCAAAGCTGAGAAACATCATTCTAAAGCAACAGCTGTGTTTCTCTATTCTGAAAACTCAACATTTTAAGTCTCCCGTATCGATAGAACCCTCAAATTTAAAAACAAATAAAACTGAATTGTCTGAAATCTTACAAAAATGACTAAATCTCACAAGATTTTTATGTTCAGATTGGGTGAAGTTTTGGTATTCAATATCTAAAAAGACCTGATCTTTTAACAAATTGAAGCTCAACAAGGCAATCAATATTGTCTCAAAAGCAACTTTTATAAATTCTTCTACAAACCTTGAATAACCTCTCCACTGATTGATTGATTTAGACCTGGCATGTCAAACTCGCGACATCATGTGACGTCGCGCGAAGTATCGGAGCTTTTTCGCCATAGCCGGCAATGGGGTAGGCGCGACTCCGGTATGATGAAACTGGCCCACAGGCCGGCAGTTTGACACCCCTGATTTAGATGATGTCTGATGGAGTCTTCTGAAGAATTTATGATTTCATGTTGATTTTTCATTGTAAATTTGAAATAAGAGAAGCTGAGAGGTACAATTGAGTCATGGTGCTCTTTCCTTTGTTGAGTAAATTTCTAAGGAAAGAAGGGCAAATGCTACAAAGCTCGATCCTCAGGAAAATAGAATACACGATTCCCTCCCAATAAAGGCATGTGGAAATACTCTTGTCTCTGCTTATCTCCAGAATATGCTATTTCACTTGCAACTTGTTTATTCTCCAAACACCAAGCATTTGTGGCTAAAAAAAAACTTGAGAAAGGGGTGAACTGCCACCCTAAGTGTTTCTACTATTACATTCTGCAAAATGTGAAATCATGCTGACCCTTTCTGTATTATTTCTCATTATTTTAGTTCTACTTCAGTCAATGTGTACTACTGAGTTCAGTTAGTGGGACTTGTTCATCAAAAGGAAAGCACTGAGAGTTCAGCAGGTCCTTTTGCTTTGGCATTCAATGCAATCATTTTGCTTATTGTGAAAACTCTACCTTTTCAAGAATAACCTCCTGTCATGCCTATAAGAAGATCCAGCTGGGTTTTGATTTATGTTTATTTGTTGGGGTGGGGGGGTTTTGAGCAGAGAGGACAACTTTGCAGCTAAAGGGCCATTAAATATTTGTTTTTGGTCCTTCTTCATCTACTTGCTCTACAGATCAACACCAACAACCATAATCTCTTAAGAGCCGGTTCAAGTGCTCAGTAGGGCCTCTGATGAATTTCTGGAATTAGTTCCCAGAAATCGTATCAAAAAAGGATTTTTGACAGATGAAACTTTTCTAAATTATCTGTGATAGGCTACAGTATCGAACTCCAATCTTCTGTACATCTATAATGGTTGCAGCTGGTTCGCTCTGCTCTCTATCTGACTGCTGGCACCTTGAGCAATCAAAGCACTTTGCCTACCACACACAGGCACCCCCATCTGCCTTTTGCCTGACAATACTTCTGAATGGGTACCATGAAAAGAAGAGGCTGCACACTTGCCAAAGGCCAGACATGACCCTGTTCTTTCTGGGACACAATCACAAAGCCCTCGTTAAAATGCATATGGCTGGCAGCAGGTCCAGGATGTAATTAGGACATTGTCCAAGTACTATTGAAGGGCTGCAAGGGAGACTATTCAATACACTGTAGATGTACTGGTGCCTTGAAACACAAGCCAAGCCATTTCAGCCCAATTATTAAAAAAGAAAAAAGAAATGAAATGAAAAGATGGGATGGCAGCCAAATGCAAAGAAATACACATATTGACACAAATACCCCTCTGCAAAAGTACAAGCAGCCTAGCATGACAAGCAAAAGGGGCAGCTGCTTCTTCCAACTCATTACAGCAGGACAATGGCTTCAGTTGATGACACTTAAGAGGTACAGAATATGAAGTGTTCTAAAAAAGAAAACATCAAAATAAAGAATAGAGTCAGTGGCAGAATAGCACAGGAATCTGCCTTATCCCACATAAACCCACAACACTCTATTTGTTTAAACCATGGTTTGTTGAACAACCCATACTGGGTGGATTCGCATATCATTTTAAGCCAAAACCAAAAGTGAAATCCAACCACTGACTCCAGGAGATAGAAAGATCATCCATATCATTTGCTATATTAACCATTTACCTTGCAATGTTGGACTTTCTCGAAATAAATGACTGGGTAGAAATAAAGCCTTTACTCCACTGTTATGTTCTCATTTTTGAAAAAGAAATCACTGCTCTTAAATCATTATGATATGCAATCAAAAGCAGGAAAGTTGTGCCCTGGTTTCTAATGAAAACAGAGTCAGCATGGAAACTGCTCCAATAACAAATAATTCTGAGAATAGAAAGCAGGTACAAGAGATCAAGCTGAATGAAAACATTCAAAATCCAACAGCATAAAAAGCCAACACTATTAGCCTACCAAGTGGATAAAAAACTTTGAAAAGTCTTTTTCTATCACATCTTTCCAAGATCTACCATGTGTATGACTAAATATGAGTATCATTTGATGCAACATTGCCTTACTTGCTGCATTTTTTCCAGATCAAGACTGGGTCTCCCGACTTTGTCACCATAGCCCTGTCGGTGTCGTTTACATGGCATGCCTTGCTCAAAGCTGCCTCCAACGCTTGTAAAAATTATAGGCCGGGATGATGTGGTCCGTACCAAGGACTGCAGTCTCTTAGGAGGTGAGGCACTGAAGAGCACTGGGCTGGTACTGGCACGCAAACCCTCCACAGCTTCGACGACTGGTCGGAAGGATTTGCCACACAAGGTCTTTACGTCCTCATCACTGGAGGAGGTATTACAGCTGTCACTGCAGCAGCCAAACCTGCTGACCTGAGACCACTTCCGTTTCTCAGCAGCAAATTCACGGGTGATACATTCCAACTCTTCTTCAGAGCTATGGTGATCCAGCCCAGAAGGAAAATGGGCCCGCACTTTGCAGCACTGATTTTCTTGATTTTGCTGTTGATTGGTTGCCAAGGGAGTCAAGGTGCAATTCCGTCTTCTCTCTGGGAAAATATTTAAAACAGTGATAGAGAAGATCTTAACGCAGCCTTACATAGTGATTTAAAAACAGTAATCCCATTTCCACTCCTTCTATCAAATAGGTCCTTCAACCCAGACACTGGAAGGAGTTAAGAATGGCAACAGGCAGGATAGTTGAGCACTTCTGAAATCATCAGGAAGGTGAATGTTCCTGTATTTAAGAAGAACTGGCATACTCACACGGCGAAGGACACTCTTATTATCTAGGACCCACTAAGACTCAATCAGCTACAAATAACTGAAGTCCCTTGAAAATGCCAATGGTGCTTTTTCAAGAGGCAACTGGATTTTGGTGTTGTAAGAAATCAATGACCTTTTTCTTATAACTGCTGGTGGGATCTCTCTTCAGAGTCTCCTATGTAGTAGTTCCTTTGAAAGACTGTTCACTTTGGCCTTGTAGCCATCTGTGTTCAGGTTGACTGCAGTTGCCTCTTGAAAAAGCACCTTTGGGACAACCATGACCTAGATGACTGAGAATCTCCATAGACAAGTTCCTTGAAAACAGAACTCTGTACAGAGGAAGAACCAAGATTAATTCGTGAGGAGGAGATGGGGACAGTACACATTAAGGATAAATAGAAAAAAGCTATGTAAGCTGTGTAAAGTCATTATCACAGTATGAGTGAAATGTAATGAAAAAAAAGGCTACATTTCTATAGGCTGGAAGAAAGTAAGAGTAGAAGCAGGGTCTATTTTGAGTACTCAACTAGTAGCTCTGTACAATTCAGAACTCATATACCACATGTACCTACTGACAAAGTGCTCCAGTACTTTCTGACCAGTCTACGTGTCCATGGCAGACAAAATCTTATATTACTTTAGTATCTTACCAAAAAGGGGAAAAAAAACAACAACCATCCAATCCATATTAATTTGGGTAACATGTAGTGCCAATATGTAATGTGATTAACTTGAATTAGACTTAATGATTTGGGTCTAACCAACAAATATAACTTGTAGCCCATAGTTAGAACTTGGAATAACTGAGTTGAAAGGGACCTCGAAGTTGTCTAGTCAAAATTCCTGCTCAGGCAGGAGAGACTATACCATTTAAGACAAATGGCTGTCCAGTCTCTTCTTGAAAGCCTCCAGTGTTGAAGCACCCACACATAAACACAGCCAATTATAATTTAATTTGTATACCATGTCGACACAAACCATGACTTAGCATGATGTGCAAATTCTGTCAACGATTGTATCTCAGGTTGTATCACAAATAGCAAGTACACTGACCTAACAGAATTTGCTTTTGGTAGAATGAAACAGCAATTTTAGCTAATCTCTCCTACAGCTATCATTACTACCCTCACGTGAAGAGGTTCACCAGCAGAAGGATCTCAAAACAGGGCATATAAAAGTGGCCATATCCTAGCAAAGATCATAGGACCACAGAGTTTCTCAAATTTGGAGCAAGATCCACAGCAGAATTCCCAACCACTCATAAAGCTTACTGGCTATTATTGCTCCCATCATCATCTATCACCCCGATTTAACTTCATTGTTCCAAGAATAAAATCAAGCAGCCTGCCCTTGTACATCACTCTATAGTGGTGTACAGTCTACACTCTATAGTGATGTACACTCTACAGTCTGGAGGGGAAGCATCACTGCTTCAGACAGGAAGGCGGTGCAGAGAATGGTGAGGATGGCAGAAAAGATTATTAGCAGTTCACTCCCTTCTATACAGGACATAGCATTAAGCGTTGCTTGAGCAGGGTCCGCAAGATTGTCTGGGACACTACACATCCTCTTCACAACCTGTTTTCTTTGTTACCTTCTGGGAGGATGCTTTGTGGTATTCGAAGCAGAACATCCAGATTCAGATACAGTTTTGTTCCATACAGTATTAACCTTGTAAACTCTCAAGCTTCCTCTTTCCACTATGTATTCAAGATGGACAGTGATTAATATTTATATGTATTTATATATAAGGGTGTAGGTACAGTATATACATGTTGTATATAGCATGTTTATATATGTGTTATGTATGTGTACATTTTTGAGAGCAGGCAACAGAATTTCATTTTTAATGTGTGCCAGTGTGCCCACAATAAAAAATAATAAGAAATAAGAAATAATAAAAAATGTCATAAAACATTTCCTGTGTTGATGTTTGACTATATTATACAGTTAAATGTGGGCTACTTTCAAAGCAAATACATCTCTGAAGGTATCCTAACTTTTCCAGTGAAGCAGAACATTAGAAACTCGTGGCATTGCTGAAGGCATTGAGGAATCTGGTAAGGAAATACCTCTGAAAGAATGACCCCAGGGGTCATGGGTTGTCTAGTTAACCCATTCATCTTGACTACTGCTCATGCTAGCCAGAGTTAATAAGACTTCAACAAGATCTGGAAGGCATCAAATTTGAGAAGACTGCTGGACAGGAAATTCTTAGTTTCAGGGAAGGTGAAATTACCCTTACGGGATAGGATTATATAAATTGTAATAAAAGTTGACAGACCTGCAACTAGAAAGCAAATACCTGGAAATTACAATGCACGTTTAACACTAATATTCTTAGTAGGTTTTCTAAATACTGGAATGCTTTACCTCTGTCAATCTGAGCAAGTTCCTGGTTCTCTCCCTCAGAATCATCACTGTCTTCCTCATCACTTGGTGTGTAGGAAATCTAGGAGCAAATGCATATTTTAAAATCATTCAACATGAAATGTGCAACTGGCAAATTTTAATCGCCTGTTTAATTTTCAAACGCATTTCTTTATGAATGCATAGTCATACCCAAATTAATCTCATTTTTTTACATTAAAAAAAAATCTTAACAGAAATATTTGTTTCAGCAAGTTCTTTTCAACTTCTCCTTTTCTGCATATGATGCATTCAAAATTATTTGATATCCAAGAGGGAGAGAGCCCCATAGCCAATTTTGGAGAAGAGAGAAATCCAATGGCTTCTAAATCACCTATTATGTAGTTTGAGAGGTCCAGAGCAGACTCACTCATAAGAAAATCTGCAAATAATGCACTCAATTTGGCATTCCTAACATGAAAACCAACACTTGCATCTCCTGCTGTCTGCACAGACATCAGTAAAATCTGTACATAAACAACATTATTCACATTAGGTAAAATTCTGTTTCCTTATCAGAGGTATGTATTTGACAACTGAAGGACTCTCTTGGCTCCAGTGACACACCTGTGGACTAACCTCCCTAAAGCAGTTCAATTGTAAAAACCTGTTCATCACCAAGCACATATTCTTATTCAATCAGGCATTCTAATTTACTATATTGGGAGGGGGGGGGTGTTATAACAAACTACTCTAACATTTTTAGTATTGTATTGTATTGTTATGCAATTAGTTGAATGTTCCCTGGAATGTTAAACTTGTAAAGTATATCTACATGCTGTACACTAGAAACACACATACAGATCCAGCCCCAAAATCTGAAAGTTGGGTAATTGTTGCATCTCAGTGCAGCCTCCCCAACTTTGCAGCTTCCTAACAGACGTGATGACTGAGGACAACTGCAGCTTGGGGAAAACTGATGGAAAGTATTTTGCCATATTATATGCATATTTCTTTCAAGAACCTCCAAAGGAAATCTACATTGTTCATCTGTCCCTTCTTTCCTTAGCTTTTTTAGTAACAGTGTGCACTGGTGGCTTCCTATCATCTCTGCTATTCCTTGAAATCCAGATTGGAATGTCAAAAAACCATAATAACCACTTAAAAATCTCATTAGTATTATAAACAACTGATCTGTTCTGTCATTTGAAACATCTTAAGAAATTGTTCCCTTTGCCCAAGTTTGCTGCTATCTCATTCTGTTACAATTTATTGGTCTCTTCCCCTGCCAAAAAACGAATGAGTACTATACAATGGCTTTGCTAATAATCTAAATTTATTTTTATCTATTAAATTTCTATGACACGCCACGTTACTGATAACAATGACTTTGGGCAGCTCACAATATAATAAAAAGTTAAAAAGTGCTAAAATACCATTTAAATTAGAAAAATTGAATAGAGAAGTTAAAAGGTTATAAAAACCAAGATGATGGGAGGCCTTGGCGTAAGTATCATTGCTACCCAATCAGTCATTCCTAGTTTAGTAGGCCCCTGTTGGGGCCCCATGCCAAGCAGCATAGCCAAGTTCTTAGGCTCTTCCAGAAGGAGTGTGGGGGTGGATTTCACCTACCAAAGAAGAATATTCCAGAGGGTGGGAGGAGCCACATCAGAAAAGGCTTTTTTCCTGGACCTCCCAACTGAAATTCTTTGGATGATGGGATCCGAAGTAGGCTGGAATGGGTAGAGCAGGTTAGTCCCATCAGAGAAAGACAGTTACTCAGATACCCTGGATCCATGCCATAAAGGGCTTTAGAGGTAATGACCAACACCCTGAATTGGATCCAGAAGCAAATTGGCAGCCAGAGCAGCTTGCATAACAGAGTGTCACATGGGCCACCCAAGGGGGCTATAAAACTGTCCTCTCTGCTGTATACTGCACCAGTTGTAACTTCTGAATACTCTTCAATATATTTGGAGATGACCAGGGCATGAGTGACTGGGCACAGGGCCTCACAAGCCAGGAAATGGCACAATTGGTGCACAACATGGCTGCTACTTGCTATTTGAGCAGGACTCGCAAGTCTAGGAGAACCCCCAAATTGCTCATTGGGTCTGTCTGTGTAGCAGTGCAACCCCATTCAGATTTATCCAGATGATAAATTCCCAGATCCAGAGGCCCCTTGAATCCACAGCCACTCTGTCTTACCAGGGTTCAGCTTGTTGTCCCCATCCCTTACAGCCCCCAGACATTGCAAGAGGGCAGTTACAGCATCATTTGTATCACCAGGGATGGAGATTTAAAGTTGGGTATCATCAGTTTATTGATGATACCTCATCCCATGATGTTGGATGATCTCACCCAGCAGTTTTATTATACATGTATGTTAAAAAAAATACCGAGCCCTGCAGCATGCCACAAAGTAACGGCCATGGGCTGGACCTCTCACTCCCTATCAATACTGATTGGGACAGGACTTGAAGAAAGGAACTGAACCAGCATAAAACTGCACTGTCCAGCCCCAGCTCCTAAAGAGGGCCCAAAGGGATATCATGGTCAATAGAATTAAAAGTTGCTGAGAGTCAAGAAGAGCAAAGATGGATGCAGTACCCCCCTCCTGTTCCCACCAGAGATCATCTACAAGTGTGACCAATGCTCTCTCTATCCCATAAAAAGGCCTGAAACCCGACTGAAAGCAGTGCTCTAGCTGTCTCTTGATTCTTTGTCAAGGTTAGAATATTCCTAACAACCCTCCCATTTACTGCCACTTCTCCATTTTATGAAATAAATTACGGTATAGTATGCATGTTATTGCACTAACTATTGGTTGGAGAACCATGAAGTTATTGATTTGTGGTAATTGGTTTTACCTTGATTGCTACTATTCATATTGATACTACTTTAAATGTTATCTGCCCAAATAAATAAATAAATAAATAAAATCTGGAAGTATGCTAAGAGTGAAATGATTAGGTGGTACATACAGTAGGACTCTTTTATTTACATAATCACTGGTATGCTCAACAGAAACACTATGAAGTATATTAGCAACAATATTAATATTATCTCCATGTTTCAAAGAATAATTACTACTTCAGGGCTACACAGTTCATCTCTGGCTCACAAAAGCTGCAAATCTTATGCAAGGACTAGCAGTTCTGGGAGCCTGCAGTTTTCCTAGAGGCTTATAATATAAAGAGATAGAGAGGGTTTTTAACTCATTGTTTAATAATCCTGAAGGGAGAAAACTAAAAGAATATAAAAACCACAGATATGTAAAATGTTTAATTGAAATTCACATATTATCAAGTATGTTCTTTTTTCATGATGCTCAGAAAGTATTTTAATAAATGCTATTTAGCTCAGAAACCAAGACAAGATTTGTGTGCTTTCCAGTTCCATATTCTGTTTACATTACAGTTTCTGCCTAGTTTAACAGCTGCTAAAAAGGTACATTAATTGTAGAAAACTGTAGAAAGCACATGACATTGTATACAAGAATGTCAATGTTACCAAACACTGTTCAACATGTTAAATTTAATTGTAGAAAGCTCATGTTGTCTGGATATCAGACAAGGACACTATTCTAGTATCTCCTTTCTTCTCTTCACCAGAGATATTTCATCAGATATTTCTGATGTCTAAATTTTCTGGATGGGTAGAAATGACACTATCCAGCTTTCTACTTTTAGTCTGGCTTAGTGCTGATTCATTTCCACATTTTGTGGATAATTCATGCATTTATTGCAACTTTGAATCTAACACTTTTTTCTAAAAAACAAATATTGCGATCAGGCCTTAATTTACATCTTTATCTTCTCCAAAAAGATTATATAATATTTTATATACTAAAATTCTCCAGATAACTTAGATTTTCATACAGATAAATTTTTAAATGTAATACATCTACAACTTCATTGCTTTGTGTTGTTCTCACTAGAGAAAGAGAGTAAACTATGTGACATCTCAAAGAGTGTCTAGCTAGGAATTAAGAATCCATTATATCCTCAGTTCTATGGTGTTAAAGTAAGGTGGTTTTCTGTTGTCAGACTCTCCTCATTGGCAGAGAAGATGCAGTTTCACTCCAACTCATTAAACGATATAAGCAGAAAAACAGATATTCTTCCAAAGATAAAACCAGTAGCAACAAGAGATTGGGATATTTCATTTGAATAGACTTGAGATGTCTCATGGGCTTCACCAAATACTAGTTCCCCAAAGCTGCATCAGTTAAAATAGGCATACCACAGAAGGAATTAGCAAAGATACTACATTTTTCACACTGAATGACTCAATAGAGCTATTTCATCAAAACTATTTCTTTTTCTCAGGAAACCACCTCTATGACACGCCTCTCCCTAAACATTTTCAATGTTAATTTCCGTAACTTTTAAAAATTAGCGTCTTCCTCTTCTCTCCTCATTTTTTTTTGTGATAAGTCTTTTACATAATACATAAGAGGGCGGGTAATGTATATATATATTTTTACCAACAGTCACTCCAGCAACCCCAATGAGCTAAGACAGAAACATTTCCAAGCATGGTATCTTAAGAAACCAGAAATATTTTTTTAAAACTTACAACTTTAAATAAGGACTTTGCATATAATTCTTTATATGATAGCTGTGTCTTCAAACCCAACAATTGAGGAATAGACTCTAGCAGTCGTTCTCATTCCTTCAAACATTTTTTGCTCCCACTCAAGACAGCAAATGCTTAAGTTTCCTTGAATGCAATAGTCATTTTTGCCATCCAAGCATGAAATAATGAAACCAGACGAAGAAAAGTCAAAATGTTTAAGGCACTTTTACCATTGACTCTTTCTCCCAAATTTGGAAGCAGAAGCGCAAGAAAACTGCCGCTCTTATTAACAGTGAAACCTATGAATAAGGAATGGGTTTCTTTTTGATTTAGCATAATGTGCAAACAATTGCCCCATTACATTAATGTAGCCACTGTTAAGGATATGAACATGTAAGAAGATCTGTGCCAGATCAGGCCAGAATCTTATCTATTCCAGCATCCTGGTTCCACTGTGGAAGTCTCTGGAAAGCCCACAAACAAACTATGTAGAGAACTGAGCACTTCCACACATACACCCCA